CTCTCTCTCTCTCTCTCTCTCTCTCTCTCTCTCTCTCTCTCTCTCTCTCTCTCTCTCTCTCCCTCTCTCTCTTTCTCACGAGCGTGCGCGCGCCGAAAGAGACACAGACAGCGGGAGCGGGAGGGCGTGCGCTTCCTCACACGGCCGCACGCTGATGCGCACAGTTTCTATTTTTATTTTCAATCAATCAATCAATCAATCCAACCGATCAGTCAATCACAATCAATCAATCAACCGTTTTTTTTTTTGCTAATATTAAACCACCACTACCTTTCGCAGGCAAATGCGATGTGCATCTAGCAGCCTACTCGTCACAGTCTGATGCCTCGGGGCAAGCACCGCAGCCTTTTCTGAAAACAAAAAAAAAAGAAGGAAAAAAAAGGAAAAAAACTAAAGAATTGGAATCTAGTGATGCTGGGGAAGGCCCTCACGGACGTGGAAGCCATGCCAGTGCTTTGAGGAATGTATCTGGCCAGCACGTGTGGGAAAACGATGGCTGATGTTTTCGTTTTTGTTTTTGTTGTTTTCGTTTCCTTACGTGCCCTGCCAGCAAGGCAGCACAGATTCCACGGCAGGCAGCTAACTGCCTCACTTCCTCATACTCACACTGGTACTGTAGCTTCCTGTATCTGACCACAATCACAGCATAAAGGATGCTTTTTTTTTTCCTTCTTTGTTTCTTGTTCAGCGGACAGACGCCCTCACTGAGGGCGCAGTCACACTGGCACCTCGTAGAATGCATCCGATGGATATCGCGGCGTTAGGGAAGTCCTTTTTTTCTTCTTCTTCTGTTTTTTTTTTTTTCATATTTATGGTTCTTTCGCATATGCAACTGCCCAGGCTCGGCAAAACTCCGTGCGCAGTAAAATTCAGGCTCGGCAAAAACAGGATCGGAGGCATTGGTGGTTTAATGTTCTTTTTCAATAATATAAAAAAATAAAATAAAAAATGGGGGGTCGTAGCGCTTTTGGTGCTCTACAACCCCTTTTTCCTTTTTTTCTGCTCATTTTTGGTGGTGTATGCAGCAAATACGGCCGTACAGCCGTTCGACCATCGGTACAACAAAACCGCCATACGACATACGGCGTACTTCATAGGACAACATGGCTCCCACATGCTAGAAACATACAGGCAGTGTCGAGCGCATCAGCTCCCCAAAGCTTTCGTACAAAGATCGGTAGCTCTGTAGGGATACGCCCCTAAGGGAGGTGACAGCGCATTACGGAAGGAGAAGTGCAGCCTCGTGAGAACCTGTCCTGTCGCACAGCAGAGAAGAAAGCTGACGCATGGCATTCAGTTAAGCGGCTGGGAGCGCTCTCTGTTGAAAGGCGGGGAGCCGATGCGCTCGACAACGACGACCACAATTGTATAGACACTGTCACTACATATAGGACATACCATATGAGCGTGTCATACATGAGTACAATGTTGACTGTGATCTTAAGATAGGAGAAGAAAAACTTGCATGGACTGTACCTGCATCCTAACAACACAAAGAACATCACAGTTCTCATGGCAGAGGCTGTCAGTGTCCACACCTTCGTAGTGTCCGGAACAGAGACTATGCCCTGCATATGCTAACAGGACCTTATTTGCATGCAGGCATAATGCCAGAGTGCGGCAACGATCCTCTCAAAGGGCCCTCTCACCTTCATTGGCAGAATCCGTCTGATCTGCTCAGGCAAGAGATGCAGTTTCACCAGGCCGAATCTTAGGTCTCCCATCACAGATCGGTGTTGAGCAAGTTTCTTGGGCTTCCGAAGCCATTACTTCCTCTCTAGGAACAGACGACGGCAGGGACTGATCCAAAGCGAGAGTGTTTAGCTGTTGCAGGATTTGGTCTGCAACAGCTCGCCCTGGTGGTGATAATCTATGAGGGCAGAGCCCTGTAGCAGGTTCACGTGGTAGTCTATTTTCCTCCTCAGGCTGCTGCATCGGTTGTTCGTCTGGCGTGGATGCAAGAGATCGACTGCCGTTCCACCAGGTGTATGCCCAACGCTGCATGCGGGACACGATAGGAGAGGATGTGCCGGGTGATGGCATCGGGGGTAGTCCACACAGGAGAGAGACTACCTTCTATGACAGGTTCCCGGAAACGTTGACGACACATCAGCAGTAAAGCAGGGTGAAGTTTGCAGTTATTTAACCATAGCATACCGAGGCCACAA